GGTCCATGTATGAAGAGTTACATGGCAGATAAGGTTCATTGTCCGCGCCTGACATCTGTTTACGCCTGGCACGTTTAGTCTATTTCTGATCACGCACACACATTAATTGGTTCTCGGCGAAATCGTGGAGAAATGTCACTACATTGATTGTGGTCGGCGCTGATTTGTGCCTCGCCTATCCCAAAAACGAAGAGCTACGCAGTGGCAATGTATGTTAGCTTGGCGGGCTAATTTCTATTGTATTTGGGGAGAGAGTGGATTTTAAGTTAGTGAAGTGTGTGTGTGTGTATGTGTGTGAGTGCGTGCGCATGCGTGTGTGTGCGTACGTATGTGTAATATATATCTCATCAGGAGTACATCTAATATGGTTACCAATTAGCTAAATAACGAATTTACTCTTGATCAAGACTATACATTATAATATAAAATATCAATCTGCAGAATATTCGTCGTTCTTCACTAAATTTCAGAGGTCGATCGAATGGTGTATGCCACAGGGCAACATCACACGAAGACGTGACGAAAAACAATCCATTCAGGAGGGGATGATGAGAAGAATCCTAATCCCAAAACAGGCCGCCATTAATCAGATAGACGACGCAGCGGCGGCACTCAGCCTGTCGTCTCATAATTCTCCTAATGGAACGCGCCCCCGAGTAACATTTCCGCGAAGCACTTTACCAAACATCATCAATACAGAGGGCTAGTTGTGCTGCGTCGTAGGAGGAGGGATCTATGGCATGGGATCTACACTTATCTTCAGAAGTACCCGCGTGAAATGCCTAGCTGGGATATCTGGTTGGTGCAATTAGAATCAGGTGACATTACTGACAGGCGGTGTAACTATTCGAATCACTGACGTGAGCCGCGAAATACGGACTGGCTCTTGAGGTCTGTCGACCTTCTGGCCGATGACGGATATTTGGAAATCTGCTACGTAAACGACCAATGTACCACCAAAAAGTGTCAAGGAGTGAGAAGTAATTTAATAAATATCAGGTATATATGGTGTATTCTTAGCAATACATAGGTACATACGACCCAATAGTGTTAGTAAAATTAGTTGTCTACTACTACGACGACGACGACGACGACGACGACGACGACGACCTACTGGCCACTGGCCACTGGCCACTGCCACTGCCACTGCCACTGCCACTGCCACTGCCACTACCACTACCACTACTCACTAGCTGGGCAAAGCACCAGAACTATAAGGTGTGCACAGCGGAAAGTGCACCAACTGTGACTGTAACTGAAATACGTTAATTAAAGGTTTATTAATATTTTGCAGCGTGACATCAGTTTGAAAAAAATGCAAATCGCATTATGGTGTGTAATTTCCTCTGAAATCGACAACGTAAAAAGGGGAGTATTTATTCAAGTAGACGAAAATTTTTTTGCGAGATACAGATTCTGGTTTTCCCTCGTACGAACGCGAGCTCCACACAATTTACAGATGTCCCCACGACGCGTAACTATGACGAGCAATGAGATTCAATGACAGTGCAAGTGTCACGGTTATTCATTCGCACCGTGTATGTACGTCTGTGCTCTTAGATCGCGTGAAACTTCTTCTCTTCCCAGTGAACTGGAGCAAATCATCACAATACGTGACTGAATTCATCCTAACGGGGGTTTGTCCCAACGGGCTTAGATTCTTAGATCTTTCCTGCAGAAATGGTATAAGATGCCACTGCATAGGGCAGCCTATTCACCACGAACGATCACCAACTCTAATACTGTATAAGCCATATTTTTCGCGAATTCAGACTTGACGGACAATTTCGCGAGTGATTAATTTCGCGGTCGGTGAACTATAAATTATTCGGTATTATTCGCTATGAATTATTCGCGTGTTATTATTTTCGCGGTCGGGAACGCGTTCGCGAAATTCGCGAAAATTAAACCACCGCGAAATATACAGCGTATGCAGTATTATGCATGCTGTGATAAGTGCTGTAATAAGCACGAAAACACGTAGGAAGAGACTATTGTTGATTGCATGCAATGGATGTTGCATATAGCATTTCTGATGCGTTGAATTTGGGTTTATATTGCATTATGACTTAACTATTTAAAGATCTCCTTCGCTCTTAAATTGTGTTGTCAAGCATGCAATACGAAAATGTTGATTATCTTACAGTTGTGCATTTATACTTGTCAAGGCAGTGATATCAGAAATGACATTGAGTGTTTGCGCTTACTGCCATTAACTGATACTGTTGCAAGAAAAACATTTACAAAATAGATTTCCGTTTACGTGACATGGAAATGTAATTTGTTAAGCAGCGAAACCTGAATGGATCCATTTCGTTGCGAAAAATAACCGCAACCGTTCAAAACTAAACGCTCTTTACACTTTTCATTGGCAAATCCGACTTCAACGCTGACACGCGACTGACATTCTTCTAGCGTCGTGAATTTTTACTACGTTTACAATATCTGCCCAATAACTCTCCACCACACGGACAAGATACGAGTTTAAATCATTTGCGACTACGACAATCCTGCAGAGATGCAATCACGCACAGTCACGCGTCTCCTCCTGCGCTCGTTACCACTATCAGCCTCTTTACGGTTTCAAACGGTCTATGTGTGAGCGGGCGGAAGCACGTACGGTCACTGGTAACGGGGTTGTGACTGGCAGACTAGCAAGGCCACAGCACGGATAGACTTCTCTACGGTTTCAAGCTGTGAGTGACTTGACCCCGCGAGCTTGCTTCGAATCTTGCCTCGCGCACGCCCTCTCGCGCTATGATTGCTTCACTACAATAAACCCTCTCCCCCTCTCCCCCTCTCCCCCTCTCTCCTTCCTCCGCGTCCGGCGCCGACAAAACTACAACGTTGGTAATCACTGCATGTAGTTGATGAAAAATGAGAAGGCAGTCGCTGTGGCGCGACAGCGCGCATCGAGAGACGACAACAGCTCATCCATTATATTAGGAATGCCCACCGAGAGAGAAAGAGAGAGAGAGTTAATATGCTGCCGTTTTCTCCGATCCCGTGCGTATTTCCCCCACATCGTAACATGCTCTCCTTCCGCGACAACGCTGCGGTTTTGTTCAGAGATGTAAGTGGTATTTGTCCAAAAAATAGGAAGGTAGTAAGACACTCCGACAACAGTGGTCGTGGACCACTGAATGGAAGGGCGAATGGCACCGCAAAGGTAACATGGCATGTCCTTGCGTAAGCGGGGGGTGCTCGACATAGAGACGTTTTGGAATTTTCAGTGTCCTTAGATGCACTTTCAGGCCATCTCACAGAATCGGAATCTTTATTGAAAATATCAGAAATTCGGAATTCCGTCAAAAATCTGAAAACTTACATCTCTGTTTGTTAGAAGCCGGTGCACGGTGGATTATTTAGCCATGCGCTTTGGCTTGTATGCTGTGTTGTGTTTTGTGGCGTGAACAGGCTGCGGACGCCACTAACAAGCGTGCAGCTGCTTAACATGAAACCCCTTTGCATCTCATTATACCCGTGTATATATTATATCATGTCTCCCGATACATTTACACGTAGATATAATAATTTCGAAACGAATAATATTCAGTGAAATGCTTGCAATGCGCATTCCCTTGTGTGTGATTCCAACAATTCTACTAAGGTTGCCTATCCTATTACATATTTCCCACTCCACTGTTTTGTGTACGTTTCTCCCTAGCCCGCTGACATGCTCTTCCTACCATGAAAACGCGCGTTTTTGCCCTTTTCCTCTCAACATGTTTTTCCTACCCTGGCAATATGCGAGTTTTTGCCCTTTCCCTCTCAACATGCTCTTCCTACCCTGGCAACGTGCGTGTTTTTCCCTACCGCCTGTAACATGGCGGTGTGATGTACGCACCAGAAGGCCGCGAGACTTCCTAAATTCTGCGACGACGGCGGCGGCGTTTTCCACGACGCCCATCTCGGCGACCCATCGGATGTTCATCCTGTCCTTGACGCAGGACGCCTCCATCGGAAGGTCGACCAGCAGCATGTCACACTGAACTTGCTGTAAAACAAAGGTTACCGCCGGCATGTTTAAAGGTGGGGGAGTCCTTCTCATTAAAGGTGGAGGCGTCCTTCTCATTAAAGGTGGAGGCGTTCTTCTCATTAAAGGTGGAGGCGTTCTTCTTATTAAAGGTGGAGGCGTCCTTCTTATTAAAGGTGGGGGGGCATCCTTCTCATTAAAGGTGGGGGGGCATCCTTCTCATTAAAGGTGGGGGCGTCCTTCTCATTAAAGGTGGGGTGCATCCTTCTCATTAAAGGTGGGGGGTGTCCTTCTCATTAAAGTTGGAGGCGTCCTTCTCATTAAAGGTGGGGGCGTCTTTCTCATTAAAGGTGGGGCATCCTTCTCATTAAAGGTGGAGGGCGTCCTTCTCATTAAAGGTGGGGTGCATCCTTCTCATTAAAGGTAGGGGGTGTCCTTCTTATTAAAGGTGGGGGTGTATCCTTCTCATTAAAGGTAGGAGCATCTTTCTCATTAAAGGTGGGGGCGTCCTTCTCATTAAAGGTAGGGGGCGTCCTTCTCATTAAAGGTGGGGTGCATCCTTCTTATTAAAGGTAGGGGGTGTCCTTCTTATTAAAGGTGGGGGTGTATCCTTCTCATTAAAGGTGGGAGCATCTTTCTCATTAAAGGTGGTGCAGCCCCGTTTCGGTTACTGACCTTGATGTGAGAAAAAGGTAACCACAGGCGCTATCTAAGGGTTCTGTCTAAACAGTACCTATTTGATCTACCTCTTTGCTTTCAACAATAACTTGATAATAGCAGCACGGGAAAACCTCAACGCAAATTGCAGACTAATTTCTTCTCATGTGTTTTTTTTCACGAGGAAAGTTTCATGTAAAGAGACTGCCAGAGTTCGCCCATTCTGTGAGTGGATCGATCGGTTTGTGGTGGTAGATACAAGCTGCGCGTGTGCACACACCGGCTTCGTTAAGCGATCAGTAATGCAACCGTATCATCATAGAGCATCTGTCTTAGAACCAGCATAGCAGAGATAGGCAGGCAGCTGCTGCTACTTGTAAAGACTGAAGATTTTGTTTGGATTAACTTTCCCTTGCTTTACCAATTTGCAGAATGCACTAAGGCCAAAAAAATATAATTGTACGTTTCTCAGGCCTCTCCGCATCTGATTTTTAGTCCCGCATTACGTCTTTTTATAAACCCCCCCCCCCAACAAAATGCAATCGAAATTCTGGAAAGCCGGAAAGTTTAAAAATGCCAAAAATTCCAAAAAGTGAACTTATTTGATAGCTACATGTAGATCTCACCACTTTCTGTATTAAAATGTTTTGGCACCATTTAAAAACCTGTTGTCTGATTCTTATTTTAATGTGAATCAATATTATGGCGTGTACATATTACAGAACACCAATTATTAAAAAAACCTGCTTCATAGTTTTTTTTGGGAGATAAAAAAAGACACCTGCCTGCCTCATTACTTATTGAAAAGATTAGCTTGAGAAACGAACAATTGGGGGCGATCAATCATATGTATGGACGTGTGGTTGGGTTGCCAAAAGGACGATAGATGATAACGACAACCTTCTTGGCTTGTAACTCTGTTACTCACTAAACACGACGTTAACAATAAATTATTAAACAACAGAATGGCAATCTATAGATGCTTTAGGAGGCACTGAGCTATTCACTGTTGTGGTTTTGTGCTATGAAAAGGAAGAATGCTTACAAAAGAACTTGACACAAGCAGTTTTTCTATGTTTTTCAATAAACAAGAGCCGCAGAGCATCTGGGTTCATCTGAGGTCTGTTGCTACGGTTATAAACGTAACATTTAAGTCGTGCGTAGTGACACCTTTGTTAGGCGCAGGTATGCAGATACACAGTTGCGTACACATTATTTCAGCAACCTTCTGCATTCTGCATACCTCCCAAATCCCATTGGTTGATACAAATCGCGTGCATGAAACTCCTGTTTTATGGTGCACTGTGACCCTAACCCTAACCCTAACCCTATTTAAAAAAAAAAAATTAATTGTTGTAAAAATTATTTGTTGTTATGAAATTGTTGTAAATAAATCATGTAAATATTCGCGTTAATTGGAAAAAAATAGTTAAATGGACAAAGATAGAAAAATACAGAAAACAGGTAAATAATAAAAATTCTGATGGGATTCGATCCAAGGTCCTTTGAGCCGTAATCCTGTGCTGTAGCCGTTGGGCTATCCGGGCTTATTGGCTTTCTAGATTATAGATGTGCCATGAATATGAGAACACTGTGACATCATTGAGGCAGTTCAGGAATCCATGTTTAACCTTCCTCTTGAGGGTCAAAAGGTTATCAGACATTTACTCTTCGCACGTCAGTGGAAAGCACATTTCATGGTCCTTTCAATAAAGTGATAAAAATGGTAGGTCAGCGCTGAAACAAAACAGTTTTTCACTCTGTCCGTTAGGCCACATCCTCAGAAAATGTCTGATATCTGACCTTTCCCCCACTGCCCTTTGACCTGTGACCTCCAATTTCGCACTGGCGATGGGTTTCCTGCCCATCACACTATACACCAAATATTAAGAGCATAGGTCGAGCCGTTCAGATTTGTGCCGCAATTCCGTATTTCCTCCTATTCCTTAGATTAAGGGGGAAATATTCCCCCTCCGTTTACACATCTTGACCTTTGACCCTTGACCCCCAAATTGATCATCCCGAGTCCTTTTCCCGATCCCCCCCACGGCCCAAATATCGTGACCGTACGTCGAGCGGTTAAGATTTGTGCCCAACTGTTGACGGACAGACGGACGGACGGACGGACGGAGGGACGGACGGACGGACGGACAATCATGCGATTCTACAAGCTGCATCTGACTACGTCAGATGAGCTAAAAAAGATGAGAAAGATATGGATGGTTTTCAATTAAAAAAAGGTCACTAATTGAAAAGGCTACATGCACCACAAAAAGCGAGTGTTCCTGTAAAATTACGCTGCATGAAAACTATTCTCTCTGGCATTTTTTTAAGTTTATATGTTGGCGGCATTAACCGATAAGAATGGACGCAAGAGGTTCACAGAAAGGACAGGCACATGTCGAGAACGCATGAGAAATGCAAGTAATATAGCTGTGAACTATATATATATTATATATATAGTTCACAGCTATATATTACCTGCATTTCTCACGTATATATATATATATATATATATATATATATATATATCAGGAGTTACAGCTGCAAAACCTGCAATTTGTGCCCGTGTAAGATATTGAAGCCAAACCCAACTGACATTTACATTGCTCTGCCTAAATGTTACGGTTCAAACGGAAATAATCTGTATATACACATTCCTATTGGGAGTATTTTTGGGGTTATAAAACATCACGATATGTTCTGAACGAGCAGAATCGTGTGCCGAAGTTGAACATTCACAATAACTTTACCGTAACGAGCAATGAAAATTTGTTTAAACATTACATCAACATGGGCGAGCTCGAAGCAAACACATCTAAACATTTCTTTTGCGAGGTTAGGCAACTTTAACCACCGTATGGACCAAAACAAGGTGACGAAAATAGCCGAATCTGCGAAACAACGACATACCATCTAATGAACCTTCACCTGAACATTCGATTGGAGAATTATCACCTATACTAAGCAGTGCACGGGAACGATATCTCGTTGAGACACCCCGAGACAGGGGCTCAAGCACTGTAACTACATACCGTTATGTCCTTGTAGAGGAACACGTCAGCTATGGGGATCTGCTTGACACATCCATTGCTGAGATGTACACTTATTGCCTGAAAGGACATGAGCAGCAATTAAAAGGTTATAACGTGCTAAAGACGCGCCACGGAGACAGCCGCAGTAGTTTTAGCAACATTTTATCAGGAGTAATTAAGTGAATGCAAATGCAGTTGCAAACGAATAAAAGCAAATGCAAAGTTCTGCGCAAAGGAATGAGAGCAAAATAAAAGCATTTGATTTTATTCACACCTGATTTTATCTTTACGCGATGCATCTAGCAGTCAGTATTACAGAACTTCACTCTGCAGTTTTAGTAAATGCAGAAAGTATGAAGAACATCCCTTCAGTGTTAAGAAAAAGTGGTAAAAATTATCATTCAATTAAATGTATGAAGGGGAAAAGGTTGGTATCGTTTCTCTGGGATGCAGACCCACTGCACTATGTGTTTCACTTGCCTCACGAAATGTTACTAGAAAATTAGCAGTGGGTGAGATAATTAATAATTCAAATACATATACGTTTGCAGAATCGCTTTAAAAATTATTTATTGAAGACAATGGAGAGTATGTAAAATACTATAAATAGCCAATAACAGATACCCGCTCAGAATTTGCGTATTAACTGTAGATCTTCATATATTATTCAAACAAACAGAGAGTGAAATGCATGATATGCATAACTTTTAAACTGCAGATATAAAAGTCATAGTACATAGAGGGAGGGAGGGAGAGGGAGAAAAAGAGTTCGAGAAAGAAAGAGAGAGTGTGTGTGTGTGAGAAAGAGAGCAAGAGAGAGATCAGGAGAGCGAGAGAGAGAGAGAGAGAGAGAGAAAGAGAGAGAGATGAGGAGGGAAGAGAGAGAGAGAAAGAGAGAGAGAGAGAGGGAGGAGGAGGATGAGGAGGAGGGAGGAGGGAGGGGGGAGGAGGAGGAGGAGGAGTGTCGGATTACAATGGAAAAGCTTTATTCATGTACTTTCATAATCATACTGTTACTAGAACCCAACACAGAAAAGTATCAACAAAATCCAACAAATTTCCTTCTTCTTTATCCATATGGACAATGCAAGGTCTATACAAACTATAGTAAGCTTTTGTTGTAGAAAACAAGTAAAACATTTCTAGTAAAACAAGATTGTAACAACATCCCCCTAATTAATGTTGTTTGCAATATGGTGGTGTCCAGTGGCGCCCACAGATAGAAGCACTGGAAGCACAGTGCTTCCAGTAAATTTTGGGTTAAAAATTTTGTTCCTACATTTTGTTCCTAAGTCTCTCTCGCAAGACTCACCAGATTGCATCTCTAGACGTCTACCATTCAAATTTCAAAAATATTCAGGGGGGGCATGCCCCAAAACCCCCCTAGCATGCAGCGCGCCTGCTTTTTATTATCACTGAGGATTTTATCCTTCTGTGCTTCTACTTTCTCAAGACCTGTGGGCGCCAGTGGTGGTGTCTATATGCACACAGTATGCTCGTTAGTATAAATATGTTGAGCTGAAACTATAGAGTAACCATGCATTCACCGACCTTTATTATATCTTCTAATGTACTCCTTGAGTCGTCAACGGCCAGGATGTATTTGGTTTTCGGTCGGCCATCGATGATGTTTTGAACCACGCTAACGTAAAAGTACTTACAATTACATTCCATTACACATTAAAACATTGCATTCCTAACATATTCATGAACTATTCCCTATCTTGGAATTTACTGCACACATACTTACACATCATCATTATGTTACTTTCACACCTTGTTGTTTTGCCTAAATTCATGGTCATCGCAAGATCATACATTAATTTGCCTGTTCCGCTAATGCAACAGTCACCATTGTAGCTACGCCGGTCGGCGCCGGTTGGTAATAGCCGGCTCTGGTGTTGGCCGACCAGCACGCAGCTTTAAATAACATCCTTCCGACCGGCACAAAAATGATTGAGTTTGTGTAAAATTACCTTAAAAATGCTGCTATTATAATAATTTATGCATATCACTGATATCAGCCGGCACCAAAATTGTCCTGGCTACAACCCTGGTAACAGTGTTAAAAATGTCTGTTTGAATGGAGGGAGTTGCAGTGCATCACGATGCACGTGAAATTTCAGATTACCTTTTCTATGCAATAATCAGAATAAAAAAAATATACGGGAGCGATGAGCGATTCGCTATTCAAACCTCCGAAATCGCTCCCGTGAGGCTCAAAATAGCTCCCGTAAAATTTTTAACGAGAGCTATTTTTCCCACAGACTTTTGAAAAAGAGCTCCCGTGAAAAAAAATGTAATTTTTTCCCTGTCGATAGTCATATGGACGCTTCAGAGCTTCAAAAGCAAAAAAACAAACTACAACTAAAATGACAACCTGGGTGAACCGTTGATGCAGGAAATTACAAGTGACAAGGTAAGACATCAACTTGCAGCGCCATCTATTGGGAGTAAGAAATGCTTCATAGCCAGGTACAAATCAATGATGAGGTTTTCATTCATACCTATAGCCAGGTAAAATTCAATCGTAATGTTTTGTCTCATACCTGGCCAGCTACAAATCAGTGGTGGGGTTTTGGCCCATACCTGGCCTAGTACAAATCAATGGTAAGGTTTTCGTTCATACCTAGACAGGTACAAATCAATGCCGATGCCTTAATTGCTCATACCTAGTCAGGCACATATCAGCAATGAGGTGTTGGCTCGCACCTGGCTAGATAGAAATCAATTGTGAGGTTTTGGTACGTACCTGGCTAGATAGAAATCAATTGTGAGGTTTTGGTACGTACCTGGCTAGATAGAAATCAATTGTGAGGTTTTGGTACGTACCTGCATGGCTAGATAGAAATCAATTGTGAGGTTTTGGTACGTACCTGGCTAGATAGAAATCAATTGTGAGGTTTTGGTACGTACCTGGCCAGATCTTGTATGTGAATCGTTGGCTGATTGTTTTCACCGCCCCCTAATACTGGCAGGAAGGGTGCATTGTGCCAAGCTTCCTATAGAAATCCACAACAAGCACACGAGAGTATAGAGACACATTCTTGATTCACAAAACACATTTATTTAATCCTATACACTACCAGTGTTTTTTTCATTCATATGGATGTCTGAAACCCAGTTTATTCAATAGTATCAAAAGTCCATGGTACTGGAGAACCAAAGCAAAGCCAGGCAGCCCTGCTAAGGAGGTATATATATATATATATATATATATATATCAAGGAGTTAGATAATAGGGAAGGAGTGTGACAATCATAAACAAGGGAAATTTGTCATTTAACAGCGCTTAAAAATACCTACGATTTACTACGCGTATCACGCAACCAACTTGAGGCTCAACTTCACACAGTACATCCACGCTGCATTCCGTCGAAATCGTTTCCTCTATACTGCGCGGCGAGCAATCCGGAGATACATGACTAAAACGCTACGACACAATTTCTATTCTGTTGGCAGAAATAATCGATGCGTTCAAGAGAGCCATTTAAAACCAAAGGCAGCTACTAAGCTCGCGAGTGGCGGTGTGACTCGCTGGGCAGATTGAAGCATTGACGCAACACTCGGGCGAGATAACCTTGAACCGCGGCATACAGCTAGCATTACCGGCATATCAGGCTGTTATGCACCTGTATGTACGACGCACGGCACGCCCACGCAATCAGCACGCAATCTCCTAGCGAGCCACACGCGCATCGCCGAGACGCGTGTAGTAGCTGCCTTTGTTTTAAATAGCTCTCTGATACGCATCGATTTTGCTTGGGCCAAAGAATGGATTAATCGTGGCCGTACGTTTTAGTCTGTATCTACGATTGGCGGGTGTATATGATGAAACGAATTTCAGCAGATGGCTGGACGAATTGTCACTGCTGTAACGATTTGAGCTCAAGTTGTTGGCGTTACGTCATAGTAAGTCGTAGGTATTTTAAGGCTCATAGTAAAAGACGAATTTCCCTTGATTATTGATGACATCCACTCCCCCCCCCCGCCGATGTGCCCGAATATCGTGACCGTACGTCGAGCAGTCAAGATTTGTGCCCAACTGTTGACGCACGGACGAATGGCCGGACGGACGGACGGACGGACGATCGTGCGATTCTACAAGCTGCATATCTGACTACGTCAGATGAGCTAATAAATAAGAAACACCCTCGGTCTGTAGCCCTTGGCTGGAAAGTGGTTTTGCGCAACTTATCACATCGTGCACTTTGAGTGGCGCCACCGTCGTTTTAATCAAACTGTAGTCGTTGGTTTTAAAACATTTAAAGATTGAACCATGAAACTTTTTATGTAACGTAATTATAACCTAAATTAGCTGAAAATAACCCTAGAACCTAGAGCAAACTCTCCCTTTAATTTTATTATTTACATAACTTTGTTCAATTATTAAGTTGTATTATTATTAATGTTGTATAAGTACAGTTTTTAATCATCTAAATGCAACTTGCCATTGGCCAAATTTATTGATTAATTCTAGACCAATATTGCACACTAAATATATAGCTTGCCAATATTTGTATAAATCAGAGGAAACTCACTTGAGTGTGAGTGTTCAAACAGAGCTTGCTGTTTGTACATGCACTAGAATGTGTGCCAAAATTCTATTCAATGCACCCGTAGGTCTGATCGAAATATCTGGTTAGAATAATACAGACAGGTTTATTTTCGGCAAATTTTCGATAAATTTTTTTTTACAGCAGCTGCGCAAACTTTTATGCCATTTCAAAATGCGACACTACATTAGTAAAGTAAAGACAGTGTGTGTGACGATGGCTGCTTACGATGAGACTGAAAAAGAATGCGTGTATTTATCATGACGGTATCCGCGCGCACTGAGCCTCCCACTTTTTCGCCCACTCGCCCTTAGCGTATTTCCCGCACATCCACATCTGCCCTTGACAGTACCTTGAAGAAGAAATGAAACACCTCCTCTTCACAGCCATAGGTGAGGCCAGACGCCACGACGTAGGTCATCAACTTGGACTTGTTCTGTGAGAATACGAAGTCAGTCCACTAAGGTGCAAAAATGCGCACACATACGTTTGACTATAATTGTATATTTACATGTGCCACATGTAATTTTAAGTATACATTCATAATCTATGAACTACAGGGCATGAAATTAGTGACAAAATGTGAACAGGTCCACCCAAAATTTTCAACAGGCCGTTAGACAAATTGAACAGGCCTTTAATTTTGTTCATTTTACTCAAATATTAATAAAAGTATTTAGCATTGTGTTTATTAGGCATACTCATAGTATTTCAGTATGTCATTGCTATCAGTGGAGTTCTACTTGTTTGACAGGAATTGCTAGAACATGGTTTACTTCTTAGTACAGTCACTAAGTAGAAACTAGTCAGGAAATTGGTAAATATTGTTGATATAAAAGCAAGCTAGGCAAAATTTGGAATGGGCCAAGTGGACTGATTATATGGGGGGTTGCATGAACCGGCGGTTTAGGGGGTTGAACTGGCGGCCGCCGGCAAAATAGCGCTAATTCTGCGCACTGGGACTATATGTATAACTATATAACGTATGAGAAAATGAATAACTGCATCATATTTCATTGTAAAATACAAGATGGTATAATTACGAAATTAATCCCAAATTATTATTGAAAAAGTGTAATTAATTGTCATATCGGTAATCATTTTGGATTAAGGTAATCAAATGATCGTATACTGCAGGAATAGATTCGACGTAACTGACAAGAACTAACATCAAACATGACAAATTCTGTAATTTTGCTTTACATTATATACACTCCGATTAGAAATGTAAAATTAAGGCAAGATGTTTTACGGTTTTTCCTAGTTTGAGTGCATGCTTTTCGAGCGACATGTGCTCTTTGAAGTTTGGATGGGCTCTTCTCTTGCGAAAATCCTCTTCAGTAAACGGAATATCTGGGTCCTCCTAGTGGAGAGAGACACAGATCCATTTTATGGTGAGCAGACACAATAGTAATTACAGAGACAATATGGGTAACAGGGTTCTATCTACGCCATCAACATATAGAGGTAAAGCATTTCGATTCTAGTGATCTGTTTAATGGGTCATGAAATAATTTTTTTTACTTAGGATACATGTGTGATTATACACTCAGGACTTTTTAAAATTTCAACAACTTTCGTTTACTATTTAACAATTTAACTACGTTAATATTTTCGTTATTAATGAACAAGCTTTGATTGTGATAATTAAATTATTTCGTCTTCTCGGCACTGTACCGAATCAAGAGTTAGTGAAATCAGTTCCGAGAATCTCCGTTACTGCATGCTTTGGCTTTCAGGGAAGATGCACACGCCCATGTTAGAACCGATGAGTGAGATAGTAACATTAAGCAGCAGTATTTCTAAGTAAACGTACAGCGTCCATCAGCTTGCTTTTGGCCCAGGTCATCACGGTCGACAGGAGAATGAAGATTTTCTGCGATGATAGCTCATCAATGTGGCCATGCAAGGCTGCAGAACAACACGCAACGAGTTGACAACACCATATTTCTTCCGATATAAGACCTGCAGTATTAACTATTGATAACACCAACACAGGTTTCATTACAAGCCGGCGCAGAGCGAATTCAGCAGTGCACTTCAATTGGCTCGTATGGTGTGTGTTTTTTAGCCCGACCATGCTGCAAGACTTACGTCAAAACACAGGTTTATTGGCATTTCGTCTACAACCAATTGGTCTACTAGCCTGACCTCTGTTTGACCTGGCTCGTTTAACTATTTCTGACTAACCCTAACCCTAACCCTAATCCAATCCTAACGAGCCAGGGCAGACAGAGGTCAGGGGGTCATGGACCCTTTTGATTTACTGCCAATTAGACTAAGTGAACAGTGGACCAAATGGTTGTAGACGAAGTGGCAATTTACCAATACACAGCCTAACCTGCCGCTGGGAGCCTGTCGTCTGGGCCTCATCATATTACTCCCTTTACTCTTACTCATAGTCCTAGTACTTTCAAAATGATGATGTTTTTTAACAAAAAAACACCGTATTAATACTGAGCGTAGGTAGGATGTTTGACGTGTGAATCGGATAGGTTTTGCGCGTGAGCTGGGTGCACCGGACCGCACACGTACTAGACACGGCCCAACGAGCTTCCTCCAGTTGTGCAGCGCCATCTGTGATGTTGTAGACGATGACGTCGCAGTCCAACAATGCTTCTTCCATCGACTCCCTATCAGACGACTGATGGTGCGACACAGAAGAAGTTACATAGACTGATTAACATGAGCATGTGCGTGACTAGTTGTAGATACATTGTACAATGAGTAAAGTTAGCTCTTCCGGCATAGCCCCTTTGCTCCCGCTACAGGGAGCGAAAGGGCTACACCGGTAGAGCTAACATCTAGCAGGAACATATTTTTATCATAGTATACACGTTCAATGATAGTAGCTAGACATTTCATGAAATCCTTCAAAATGGCAGATAAATAATATTAAAGTGATTACGTCACGAATTTCTAGCACCATCAAGTAGTACATTTGTGTGTTATTTGTACAAAATAAAATGTATGAAAATACAATTAGTGTTTCTGTTTACTTTTCATGCTTATATACCTTCTTTATATGCCCTAATTTGACGGTGAAAAAGAGAGAGACGCCAGTATCTGAACAGTACTGGGGGAATAGTGTTAGACAACAGAAATTACCAAATCGTCTAGATTTTTGCAAATTTAACCAACGTAAAAACATTTTTATCAGGTGAGAGTTTGAGGATATATTTAGTAACGTTAGTTCTTACTTTGAATGTAAAAAAATGGCAATTTTTTTTTTACAAATTTTACCATAGAAAATTCGTGACGTAGTCCCTTTAATTTACATAATAATTCCTGAACTATCTTTAGGAATAGCTATCAGAAATGATGGAAAGTATTGCTTAAATTATCAATGTATACTCTCTTCTATGACTGTGATATCATATTACGACCAGTAATAACATTAGGTAGATTCACATGGTAGATATAACAGCCTTATAATTGGTCCACTTGTAAACAAGCCAAGTCGACAAACGATGCTAAATCATCAACAGATCATTTATAGGTTACACACACACACACTTTCATTAGCTCTGTACACACCAGTTAAACTATCTGTTGATAGCTTGTTCATTTAGAAATGGTGACCTACGTATACTGAATTAGTGATACTGCATTATAATGTCAAATAACCTGTACAAGTACTGTGTTAAGTACGGAACAGTCATTCTCATTATAATAGCACATGTATGATGTATGGTGAAGCTGCAACTAGAAAAACTGTCAAAATCTAACAGTGACCATCACGACACAACCATCGTTGTTTTGACTAGATTCTACCAATTGCTACCACCCATGTGCCAGTACATAAATCATGACAGAAACTACGAGCACAAAAGAAAATAAACCTGCTAGATCAACTAAATTAATCTCACAGTCACACTTCATGCAATAGTTATTTAACAAAAGGAGGAATTTCTACTTGCCTGAATGCCATAACCCTAGTACGAAAGATAATAGTGGGTGTACCTTTCAACTACGTATTATTTAAGTGTTATTATTCACCACATGCACTGCCGTGGGTAAATCCACGGCACACGCACGATCAATGTGGCAGCTTTCACAAGCCGGTGACTCAAGGAACGACGCGTGTCCTACCACAGCTAACTAAATACCAACGAAGCATCAGTGTGTACGTACGTCGACGATGTGTGCGATCCACGGGGGACGCCCGCCCTCGCGATGACTCAGCGAACCACAAACGTCAAAGGTTCCCTCTTGCGGCGACGATGCCTCGTAGCTTCGCACCGACGCAGCTTCCTCATCCTCTGCGTCTAGGGGCTGCTGCGAAGCTCCGGGAAAGCAGCCGTTCAAATACTGGAACAAACGAGCAGAATATGGGCTTCCCGAGGCGGAATATCGAATCTATAATAGCGCAATATTGCCCGCCGATATGCTAAAACACCCACCACGGTGGTTGTGCAGTTGCATGTACAGCAGTTTAGCATTCGCTTGCAAGTTACTCACACGTAGGGGTGTAACGATATACCGGTATATCGGTATATTGCAATATATTTTGAAAACTCGATATATCGCGATACAACTTCCGGATATCGATATTTTACAATACGGTGGTATAACAAGAAATAAATTACTTGACACTTGCCTTTATGTCTATATTGTTAATGGACTCGAAAATTATGCACTGGCGGTGTATATATTACGAAAGCACAATGCCTGCACTGCGCATACAGTATTACTGGTAAGCGACCACTGCATGGAGCACTGCGCGGTACTACTGCGCGGGCAGAGTGGGGCGGACGTGTGAGCGAAGCAGCGAGCACGTCAACCAGGGAGTCTATATATAGCCTACGCTCACCTGAGTGGGCGCGCGCGCGATACAAGCTGAAGCGAGCACCCACTGTTTCAGTTTCAGTTTCAGTTTCAGTATCCAGTATTAGCCAATTATGCAACAGGGGTATTGTGTATTCCAGCCACGTCAGTGCCTTCCGAGAGGGTATTCAGTACAGCGGGTGACATTGTTACGGCACTGTCAGCGGAAAACATTGCCGTGCTTATGTTTCTCAAGAAAAACATGAGAAATTAAATCATATCATATAAAGCCGAGAAAAAAATGACCTTTGGTTCGGGTCACCCGCCCGCACTTCACATTTCGGAGTGAAAAATGTGCGACTGCGGTCACTTTTAAAGGGTTTCAAGAAAAAATATAATTCAATTAGATACCGCCTGCCGATCATACATATTCAAATATCCGACTCTTGTCATTTTATTTACCTAAAGATAGTTTCAAAATATTTTTCCTACAACGTGAAACAGTCGTATAGAGCCTGGGCCGGCTACTTCATACACAGAGCCTGAAGGTCGTATGGCGCGGCGGCCGGCTTTGATGTACGCGATCGATCGCGTACTATATAAAGTATACGCATGCTATCGTGCTATACGCGGCCGTAGAGCCGGTGCCGCACACGCTGTGGCGTGTGGAAAATATCACACGTGTTTGATATTTTCTTCCACGTGTGGAAGATTGAACAGCGTCTGCGGAGTGGCTGTGTAAAGTTCCACACCGTCTCTACACTTGAACGTGTTTTAACGTTGACATTTCGACGTTGTTTTTACGTTGCTCTCTCTGTGTGTGTGCGTGCGTGCGTGCGCGTGTGTAGTGGTGGGGGGGGGGGGGGGGCTAGCCAACCCCCTCTGTTGGACTAACAATAATATATTATTACACATATATACCAATTAATTACTGCCAAGTATAATAGTCGCGCGGCTGCACAAAACGGCACCTGATGCATGGGTTAAATTATGTAATTGAGTGGCAAAGCAGGCGACAACCCTTTTGCAGCTTTTTCACAATTCCAAGAAAGAGTTTTACTGTCGCCCTCAGGCTCATCCCAGCGGTTGTCACCAATGCCGCGCTGCAACCGCAAGTTAAGATCACGTGACTCGCTTGACCTCCTGCTAGTGGTCGGTTACATAGAGACGGTGTGGAACTTTACACAGCCACTCCGCAGACGCTGTTCAATCTTCCACACGTGGACGAAAATATCAAACACGTGTGATATTTTCCACACGCCACACTGTGGAACGCGCTGCGCCACACTTTGGTTACTCGCTCGTTCAAATTATATTCCTATATTCCTATATTTAACTTGTGGGGAAAAAACTATATTCCTGCCTAACCATGTTTTTGCAGGGAAAAAAATGTTATACCTATACCTACCTACCCTAATTTTCACAATCCATGTGACCCGAACCAAAGGTATTTTTTTGTTTGGCCTAATACAATATATGATGATAAACCATCAAATTGTTACTATATCATGCATGGTATACACTTCCCAATACGTATTGGAAAATATTGCAATACGGTTTTGTCGTATTGCAATATATTGCAATACGGTTTTTGGTCGCAATACTCACCCCTACTCACACGTGTAAAAGATTAATAGTAATAGTACTAATACTAATACAACTTGAACCATCCCGACCTACCTCACGGTCACCGAACTGGCGAACAGGTTTGAGATTATGGTACCGTTGCCGTTGGTAACTTGGTAGCAACTAACTAGTTATTACTGAACTAGCATAATACTTGCCTTTCCTATATTTTTCCCAGTAAATAAGTCTACATTATTAACAAATATTCGTTTATTTCCTTGTAGGCGGAATATCGTATCTATATAGCGCAATATTGCCCGCCGATATGCTAAAACACCCACCACGGTTCCGGTGGTTGTGCGGTTGTATGTACAGCAGTTTAGCATTCGCTTGCAAGCTACTTAACTTACACTTAGTTTTTACAGTTACACGTGTAAAACTAAAGATGTATTACTATTAGTACTAGTATTAGCTAATAGTAATACTAATAGTAATACTATTACTAATACTATTAATATATAATATAACCATACCGACCTACCTCACCGAACTGATTATACCGTTGATAGCATAATACTTGCCTTTCCTATATTTTTCCCAGTAAACAAGTCTACATTATTAACAAATATTCGTTTATTTCCTTGTTTAACAGGAGACGATATTGATAATGTTTCAACTTGTTCGGCGTCCATGATGTTTACCTTAACTACTTAACAACAAACCAAAGCGCCACCTAATGAGCTCACGTGTCACCTCGGTTCACGTGCCCACACGGTTCATGAACCGAGCTCACCAATCTCGAGATTGGACAGCTCGGTTCGTGAACCGAGCTCACCAATCTCGAGATTGGTCAGTTCGGTTCGCCGTCTACCTCGTGTACTAACTCTAATATCTCGCGAACAGTTTGAGTTACATTTCTAAAATTCTAGACACATATAAACACATGTCTTAGCTATGATTTCTGTAATTTTTTAGTTTATTGAAGCACGAATAGTGTAATTAATTACCAGAAATATACGTACGCGCGGTATCTTCATATAGGCTAATATACGCGCGGTATCGTCAGAGGCTAATATCTCGCGAACGATTTGAGTTACATTTCTAAAATTCTAGATACATATAAACACATGTGTTAGCTATGATTTCTGTGATTTTTGAGTTTATTGAAGCACGAATAGTGTAATTAATACGTAGTACGTGTAGAAATATACGTACGCGCGGTATCTTCATATAGGCTAATATACGCGCGGTATCGTCAGAGGCTAATATCTCGCGAACGATTTGAGTTACATTTCTAAAATTCTAGATACATATAAACACATGTGTTAGCTATGATTTCTGTGATTTTTGAGTTTATTGAAGCACGAATAGTGTAATTAATACCGTATAATACGTAGTAAGTGTAGAAATATACGTACGCGCGGTATCTTCATATAGGCTAATATACGCGCGGTATCGTCAGAGGCTAATATCTCGCGAACGATTTGAGTTACATTTCTAAA